CATATATAATAATTTGAGGGACTAAAAATGTGCAGATTCAAATAAACTTAACGAATTAACTGACAAAAGGACTAAAAAAATGCATTTTTGATAGTTAATGAACTAAAAAAGTGCAAAAAAAAGTTGAGGGATGAAAATTGTGCAAAATATTAAGTTAAGGGACCAAAATTGACATTTAACCTTTTTTTTTCGCACGGAGAGAGTGAAATGGAGGGGTGTTATTAAGTCCATGTAAGCACTTTTACATGGTGGAATGTCCATATCAGATGTTCCCATTAAGATAACATGCAACATGAGCAAAAATTAATGGAGGGACAAAAAAAGGGTCGAATTTTAAACTTTAAGGACAAAAAAGGGGATTTTTTTAGTATAGGGACCAAAAAGTGGCTTTTTTCAATAGTAGAGGGATCAAAAAGGGTATTTAACATTTTCTTTATTTCGAGGTTTATGTTATTTCAAAAACAAATGTGATAAAGTACATGTTGTCTCAATTATTGCTGAGAGGTGGAATTGGAAAATGGGTTTTGGCTTTATTCAACCTGAAGTACATGCCTCAAAAAGCTATCAAGGGGCAGGACTTGGCAGATTTTTTGGCAAATCATCTGTGCCTTGAAGTAGAAGCGGATAAGGGAAAAAAGGAGTTAATTTATTTTCCATAGGTTTGATTCCTTGAAAGCTTATCTTTGATGGGTCTAGCACATATTCCATGGTTGGAGCAAGAATTGTTATTATATCTCCAACAGGCCTGAAAACCAGTTGTCATTCCAGTTATATTTCAACTGCACCAACAATCAAGTTGAGTATGAGGCGTTGATTATTGGGTTAAAAGTGCTAGTAAAAGTCAAGGTACCTATGGTAGAAATAATTGTTGATTCACAATTAATTTTAAAACAATTAGAAGGTGAATACAAATGCACTAGTCTATTTTTAGTGCCTTACTTAGCTTTAGCAGTACAACTTCTAGAGGAGTTCGATGATGAAATCTCGAGGCATGTCACTCGAGATTTGAACACAAAAGTAAATGAGATGTCACAAATCGCCTTGGGTTTAAAAATCCTAGAATACATGATGAGGAAAATTGTTGTTGTGAAAAAATGAATTTTGCTATCCATTCATAAGCATGGTATGGTGATTTCTACTTGTTCCATAGACATGACCTAGACAGATTAGTGTTATCCAATCATGGAATACCTTAAGAATCCAAGTTCTAAGGCCTTAAGAAGGATGAAAATATAGTCCTTGAATTATGTTCTATGTAATAACCCGCATATTTTCCTTGATTTTTGGGAATCAACATAATTAAATGTGCATGACCTAATTAATGGTTGGGATTAATTGCCAATTATAGGGATTTATGATCTTAAATTTTTATTAAATTAAGGATTTGATTAAAGGATTTAATTTGGGATTAATGTCTTTTAAATTAAGAATTATTTCCCCAAAAAAAATTCAAACAAATGTGAAGTCTGCCTCTTAACCCTATTCCCTTCTCAATATAAATTTGCTTTTACACAATAAACACCTCCTCCCAGATCTAGTTGGCTTCTTCTCCTAAAATTCAACCTTAAGCCCTTGTTTGGATAGAAAATAGTAAAGGGAAGGGAAGGGAGGGGAATGGAGGAAAATAAAAGGTTATGAAAGGGGAGGAAAAGAAAGGGAAGGGAAGAAAATAGAAGGAAATGATTTGTGTTAATTTTGTTTGGATAAATAAAAATGAGGAAGGGGAAGGGAAGGAAAGGATTGTATTATTTTATGTTTGGATAATTAAGGTAAAAGGAAAGGAAGGAAGGGAAAGATTTAAATTAATTTTAAATTTACAAATTTATCCTTTAAGCTTGTAATGGAGAATGATATAATAAAAAAATTAAGGTTAATTTTGTAATTACATTTAACTTAATCTAAATAGTCACTCAAATCCCTCCCAAACCCCCCAAATCGGACGGATTGCAAATCTGCAGATTTGAGGGTGGTTGGAGGGAGTCCGAATCAGCCCATCTCCCTCCCCCTCTGCCTTTTTAGAAACCCAAACAGGAGAAAGGAGACAGCCTCCCTCGCTCCCCCTCCCTTGCCATCCGTCCCCATCCCTTCCCCTCCTTCTCCGTCCGACACCTCTAATCCAAACAATACCTAAGATTTTAAAAGTGCGTATATTTGTTCCTTTTGATTTCTTGTTCTTTCTTGTTTCCTTGGATCTTTATTGCTAAACCCAATATTGTAATCCCTCGATCTCTTTTTACATTTGTTATTAAGGTTTCATCTCAGATCTGACATCAAAATCTTAGATCCTAGTGAGTTTCCATGTTTTGCTTTAAGGATTACTGAATTAACAGTAGATGGTGTAAATACATATATATATTTATTTATTGATTTATTAGTAAAAATCAACGGGGGAATGAGTCGTTGTATAGCAGCACCCACACGATTACGTGTGAGTGCTGCTACGAGAGGATGAGTGGCGATGATGCCATCGCCTTGTTGGTTTGAGATTTGCAGTAGTGTTGACACTCTAATCTTGGTAACAAATCAGGTGTTGATACCGACTAGTCCATTAAAATAATATGAATAAAAATAGCTGGGGCGGGTGGTGCCATGCGACGCATTACATGGGTATTGTGTGACAGGTTTAAGGGTTAATTCAATGGTGCCAACACCTTCAATTTTAGTCAATAAACAGGTGCAGACACCTATGTAAGAAATTTAATATGGACCTTATAAAATTAGATATTATTAAGTTGAATTAGGATTAGAAATTCTAGATTGTTGTTGATTAATATTTAACGTAAATTTTAGGTTCTTGATTGTTTGCACATTTCAGATTTAAGATCTCCATATTTGAGGTAAGTGAATTTATGGTTCTATTCTTGATTTTAAATATAATTTTGAGACATAATTTTTATCGATTTTGAGATAGTAATAGGATTAAGAACCCGTTTTGTTTAGTTATCATGACGAAATCTCGTTTTATTTTAAGTTGGATTTTATTTGGTTAAACAAGCCTATTTATAGAAAGTTCTCAATACATGCTACTTGATTCTTATGATATATGTTTTTTTTTTTTTTTAAATAAGCATGTTTGCTTGAATTGCACTTGCTAACTTGTTTTAGTCTCCAATATAGTCATGTTCTACTTATGCCTGCTAATGAGAGGTTTATAAACACTGATCATGACTTATAGAGAAGACGTCTATTTATTTCCCGTACCAGTTTTCTTGATACTTGATTTATACTTGTTGACTTGCTTAATTTTAAATTTATAAATAAAAAGGGAAAGCCTAATATTCACTTATTGAGAGTATATCTCACGTTTTTCCTTATCCACCATTTCAAGTAACAATACTAGAGACATTGGGATTAAGACGTGTGACAGATACATATTAGAGTCAATTTGGACTTAGTTAAGACTTGATTTAGTTCTTTTGGACTTATTATAAAGTTGAGGATTTGATTTGCAATTATTACATAATTTGACTTTGAAGGATTTATTTGAACATTACTTAAAATTTTAATAATAATAGAGGTATTAATAGACTTTATTTAATTGTATTCGATTTTTGGATGGTAAGTTAACTTGGTTCGGAGCCTGATGCACTTGTGGGTCCCACTTACAAGTGTACACTGTCTGTTTTGCTCTAGGGTCTGGGGCATGACATTATGTTAGAAGGCATTCTTTATCGTAAAGGACATGATGAACTACTTCTACGTTGTCTAGGTCTAAATGAGTATTGCTGCATCATATCAAATGTACATAATGGAATATATGGTACACATCAGGTTGGAATTAAGAAACCCTTGTTAATTCATAGACATGTATTTTTCTAGCCATCAATCTTGAAAAATTGCGTCAGTTATGCTAAAGGCTGCAAAGCTGGCCAGATTCATGGACCACTGCAGAAAGTTCCAACATCGGAACTCCATCCAATTGTTAAACAATGGCCATTTCGAGGATGGACCATTTCAAGGAAGGGCATTCTTTCATTATTATTAGTATAGATTATTTCACCAAATGGGTGGAAGCAAAGCCAATGAAGAAGGTAGACCAAACCGATATTATTAAATTTATCAAGGAAGAAATCATTCATAGATCCAATTTGCCAAAAACAATGACGTCAGATTAAAAGAAGCGTTGGTTTACAAGTGGAAGCGTTTGTAAGGGAAATGGGTTTTCATTTACTCACTTCGACCCCTCATTATGCTTAAGCCAATGGTCAAGCCTAGGCTTCCAACAAAATTGTGATAAATCTGCTTGAGAAGATGGTTGATGATAATCCAAGACATTGGCATGTACTATTATCTACCACACTCTGGGCTTACAGAACCTCATAAAGGAGCTCTACTAAGGTAACTCCATTTTCCCTAACTTATGGACATGATGCTGTTCTACCTATAGAGTTGTTTGCTAGATCATTACATATAGCAATTTAACATGGTTTTACTTCTAGAGAATATAATGATGCAAGGATGTTAGAACTTGAGGACCTTGAAAACATGCACTTAACGGCCTTAGATAGGCTGCAAATGGAGAAATGAAAGTGGCTCTAACACATAACAAGCAAGTGAAGTCCAGAAGTCTGGAAAAAGGAGATCTAGTATGGAAAACAATTTTGCCACCGAGAAAGAAAGATCCCAAATTTAGGAAATGGTCTCCTAATTGGGAAGGACCATTTCACATACATCAAGTGCTCAGAAGAGGAGCATAATGGCTTGAATCACTAAATGGAGAGTTAACCCTCAAAAAATAAATGGAATCTACCTTAAACCGTACTATCCTACGGCATAGGAAGCTAAAGGTCTGGATACCACGAATTCTACTTGAGATAGATTTGGGGCAAGAGCTGTACAATACTTTCTTTTCTTTTTTAGCATTTTATAATTCCTTAAAAGTGCTAAGCTAAATATAAAAGTTGGCCAAGTCTGGTCATGAGCATTCAGAGCAACTAAATTTTGGCCGTAACAGATTTCATCCTACTACAGAACATGAATAGATTATGCAGCAAGCAAGTGTTCACAAATATGAACAAGGACAAAAATCAACATCAAAGTGGCAATTTGTATGGCCTTAGGCTACAAACATTAAGTTCAAGGATCAAAATATGCAAATAAAGTTCAGAACAAAATAAGCATATAGAGATGATCTAACAAAAGTTGCTTTACTAATCACTCCATTCTTTCTTTGATTTTTTGAGTTCTTGAGCGACTTCATTTGTAGAGGTTGTGAGAGAAGGAAGTTGATCCTTGATTTTAGAAACGGTCTTCAAGCCCATCTCCATATCTACACAAAGCTTGTTTCGCTGTTCTGCCAAGCTCTTTTTTGTTTGCTCCATAAAGGGAATTTGTTTCCTTAGTTTTGCAAGCTTAGCCTTGAGGTTAAATATCTCTTTCCTTAGACCTTGAAGATGTTTAATTTGTGCAACATGAGCATCCTTCGTCACCAAGAATTCATCCTTCTTTTTAAAGACTACGGCAATACTATTTCTTGGTAGATTTTACTATCATCACTTTGTTCTCAAGTGCTAGGAATCTTTTACTAAAATCTACATAAATGATAGTGAAATCTACCCAAAATTTGCACTGAGTAAAAAACAATTGTGAGGCTTGGTTAAGGACTTGAGCTACTTGGAAAGTGTCTTATTGATCTGGCACTCTGTAGAAATAGGAAGGGTCACCGTCAATAAGCTTTTGCAAAGTTAGAATGGCAAAGCTAATTTGCTCCTGTGAAGGAATGTTGACATCTGGGTCTATCTCCTCAGTGACAAATTTCCCTTTGTTATCGAGAGCAGATTCTGACTAGACAGGAAGGTCTGCCAACATATCCCAGCTTTGAAAGGAGCTCATCCTCCAAGTCATCATCAATCACAATAATATCTACAATAAGTCACTACAAAATATGGAGACAAAAGTTCAAAGAAATCAATTGGCAGACATAGTAACATAATTCAAAACCCACACATATTTCATAATAGTAAGTCAACCTCAATGTCATCAACATTAATCTTTTTAACTAGAGAGGCCATAGGTGTGGGGACCTTCTTTTTCTCTAGGGTTAGATCGATAAGTTCATTTGGTCTAATCGTTTTAAAGTTTTTATTAGCAATGTGTAAAGAGAATCTAGAACCCCCAACCTTTGTGGCTGGTGAAGATTCATTGTTAGATTTTGAGTGAGAGGAGCCAGAATCTTCATCACTATCATCAGAATTTTCTTCAACAGGATTTGTTGTGGCAACAGTTTTGATAGAAACATCCTCTGCATGGGTAGATTGCTACTAAACTTTGGTGGTAGAAGTGGCTTTTAATGGAGATGCAGATTTGATGAGTTTTTTTTGCTACAAAGGGCTTTGCGGTTGGCCTCATGATTCCTATTTTTTTTTTTAAAAAAAGGGTTAGCAAAAAACAAATCATACAAGACTTTAAGTCAAGGATGCCAAAACATATTTACCTCTAGTTTTTTCTTGCTTTAAAAAGGTATATTCCTTCGTAGAATCTGTAGGGATGACGGCTTTTCTTTTGGCTTCAATTCTAAGAGCTTTTCCTCGCAAATCTAGCTTTTTAGTCTAGGTAGTCACGGTAGATTCTAGGTCACCTCCTTCCTTTGTAACATCATTTTCTTCAAATTTTTTAGTGAGTGGCAAACAAGTTAGAGTAGAAATGTCATCCAAAACCCAAGAAATTGAAGAAGAAAGTATCCTTGCCACCAAGTCTTGTATGAGGAAGTGAAACTCAATTGAAAAAGAGGATCTGGCAAATCATGGTCTGGAACATTTAGGCAATCTCAGCAAGCTTTGTTGCCAAAATGTTTGATTCCTCTATCACAAAGTGGAGGGGACAACTGTGGTTAAAGGAAAATAGAAGCGAAAATGGAATGTTTCGGCAGTACCGAAGTTGCTAGCAAAATTGGTTTAGTGCATAAAGTTCAACACCACATTTGGAATTGAGGGTGTTTAGATTGCGGCCTACAAACAAATCCTTGGAAGTCACACATACAAACTAGAATGTCTTGAAATTTGGAAATTGAATATCAACTTTGTACTAAGAAGGGCCGTGAGATTTGCTTAAAAATACAATGAAATCTGCATTAGGTCTATCAATGGGAAAAGAAGCAAAAAATCTAAAGCATTCCTCAAAACTCCTTTTCTTTTTTTCTGTGGCATCTTTGAACATTAAGCCATAGAATCTTGACCTAGTATAGCAAATAGAATATGAGCAAGTGTTGGAAACAAAGTTGTCAATACCGTATCAATATGCATATCAATTTTGCTATTGAAATGGTACATACCGTGTACTGTTCCAAATTTCTCACTATAAATATATTTTTTTATACATTAAATATCAAATTTTAAAATAATTATAAGATAAACTATTGCAGTTGGGGACAAGGTAACAATCTTTTCTTTCTTCAACCATTAACCTTTTTGCTTCTACACAAAATTGAATTCCTTCTGCTTTACCAAACCTCTCAGAATCTCAAACAGACCAAAAGTTAAAACTAAGCTACATAACAAAGCAAAAGAATGTCACACTGCATCATACACACAAAGAAAGCCTTCACCCTTTTAGTATGCTTAATAGGAAAAGTCTCATTGTAGAAGAGGTCAATGGCAGACTTGAAGGTTTCGACAAGAGCCGTGTCAACAGCACTAAAGCTGGCTCTGACAACGTGAATCCTTCAGCGAGACTTGAAGTTGCAGGAGCTAACAATGAGACGAAGTAGCAACTGCAAGCCTACATCACTGGCTAAGAGTCGAGGTCGAGGATGGCAAGGCAACACTACAATCTAAAATTGCAGGGGTAATTAAGAAGCCCCTAACCCACAAAGCACTCTCCAAGGCGCAGGCAATTCACGAAACAAGAAGAGGGAGCAATAGTTGCATGCCTGCACCACCGACGAGGAGTTGAGGTTGAGGATCAGAGGATGGCAAGGCAACACTGCAATCTGAAATTGCAGGGGTAATTAAGTAAGAAGCCCCTAGCCAAAACGACGTTGTTTCGGGCTAAGGAATCCTCTTTTTTTAAAAAAAAAAAATTTGGGCAGTGTTTGTACTTGTCAAAATTTCAGCGTGCTGATTGGTACACTGAATTTTGATTGAAATGAAATTTCATCTTATACCATTTTGGTCAACTTAAAAAATCAATACATACCGGTCGGTAAAACAATGGTATTGATAACATTGGTTGGAAAATAAGAATAAACCCACAATTGTAGAATCTAAAGTGGTTCACCATTACTACCTTAAGGGTGGGCTGTGGCATCTTGACAACTTTTGCATAAATAGGCAAGCAAAAAGGGACCTAAAGCCAAACGTCTTTCGTGAGCTAGAGCAATGGCTAACGAAATAAATTCTTTAGTGGGACCGTTACCAGTAGAATAGACCATGTATTTGCATATTAATGTAAGCAAAAATGATATATGCTCTTAGGTGTTGGTAGGCTTACTTGGGTCATGGGCAGATCTCACGAAAGAAGGAAAAGAGGGCTTCCGATCTTTGTGGTCATCCTCAACACCTGGTGGCAAGGTCAAAAGTGTAGTAATTTCTTCTCTCGTGCAAGGAAGTCTAATCAAAGAACTAATGCCAAAGAGACTCACCAACATGGCACCGCATGGAAAGTGGAAGCAACCAAAAGGGTAAAGTAGAATTGAAGATCAACCTATTCATGATGAATTTACACTTTGTTAGTTGAATGAACTCATGCAAGCCCACGTCTCTCTAGATTAGGCCAAAATCGGGTTCTAGGCAATTTACCCAGTCAACCCACTCAGATTTTCTCTAAGCTAGCCAAGATCCAAACTAGCCGACCCACTTGCTCCAATTGGGCTTCACCTAGGAAGGTAGAGAATGGTCTTTTGGTTGTGGATATACAAGTTTAAGAGGGATGGGTGGAAGAGAAATGAAGTATGGACCCAAAATTTGGAATTTCATGGAGGAACAAACACTTGGTCCAAATGGCAAGTTTTATGGTGTTGGAGGATTTGGTTTATTTCACTTTGGAGATCCTTAGCTTGAAAGAGGTCAACCAGATCTGTAGGGGGTGGTTTCTTGGGTTGAATAGCTTTGATTTCAGTTATGGTAGAGGTAGGTTCAGTGGGAGGAAGCCAATCTTTCTTGTTGTCATCCATGGGAGTAGATATGGGTAGAAGGACAAAGATGAAGAAATTGGTGGCATCCCAAAGAAGAAGAAAGAGGTTAAATGGTGAATTTGACTTTTGATTTTCAAAAATCCTCATTTTTAGGGATTTTGAGAGTTTAAAAGTTGAAAAGGGATTTTAAGAGAAAGGTAGTGGAGATAATCTTAGAAATTGGTCTTGAGTTATTTTAGGAGATTCCTTTTGGTGGAAGAAATGGAATAGGGAGTTGAAGTTCTGGATGCAATTTATTTAATTTAAAACACTTGGATTTATTTCCATAAAACCAAGTCCTAGGGAGGATTATTTACACCAAAAATTGTAAACATTTAAGATCATGGCATGTGTCAAATATTTTTTAAATGGATGGAGATGATTTAGCAATGTTAAATATGCAATTCTGGGTCCCATGACAAATCAAGCGCTACATAGGAAAGAAAGAGATAGAAAGATAAGATTTTATCTTCTGGTTACCTATTTGGGTTAAATTGGGTCTATTTTAGCTAAAATCTAGGAGTTGGTTTTTGTTGTGGTTATGGGTTATCTAGTAATGGGACATGTGGCAAAATATGGAAGGAATTCTAACTTTGTCAAATGCTGACATGTTCCACTTCTTCAAGAAACTGCCCATGATTTTTGAGACTGCAAAAGGTGGGAGTTGCAACAAGGGAAAAGAGAAGGATGAAAGCATGAAAATGTATATTTAAAGTGTACTTAACTATTGACATTTTGTGGAATTATGGGTTTAAAAGTTGTATTTTTCTACAAGTAATTTCATAATTATTCATTCTATTCATGTTGTGTAAGTTTTTGGTGATTAAAGGTTTGATAATTGAATGGAGAGAATTAGAAGAAAAAGACTCAAATATAAAGAGCCAAAAAGATGAGGGTCCAAGGATCAGATTTAGAAGTTTGAAGGTTCAGGTGAGATTTTCTCCATTCTTGATCAAGAAGCAAATTGCAAAGATCAGAAATATTATGATCAACTTGCGTGGAATCCAGGAGTTAAGGACCAAGACTGTTATTCTGCCATTAACCAAAAATTGCATAAAAGGCCAAAAACCAGATATAGAGTCTCCAATCAGTGCTTCACTCAAGGTGCCGGCACTTTTTTGAGAGTGTTGATCCCTTGCGTCATTTTTCAGCCAAATCATTGATCCTAATTATTTTGATGTGGGTCCCACAACTATTATAATTAGGGTTTCTAAGATCTTATAAAGACTCATCCAAGTTATTTTGGAGAGGGACTTCCGAGGGTTGGAGAGGCTGCTACTAGACTTTTATTTTCTTCTTCAAGGTTAGACAATTATGTCAAATGGCAACTAAACTTTCAATAAGACAAGGGAGGATCTTGATTGAAGAGTTTGACTTGTTATTTTATTTTGATTCCTTCATAAATTTTATTGTTTAATTTTATTTTAGAGAAATTATTAATTATTTTTCAGATTTGAAAATCCGAAAAATTATATTTATCAAATTTCAGATAAAATTAATCATGCTCTTTTTATATGTAATTTGTTAGAATATAATTGATTGATAGATTCATTTTGCGAGTTGATCCTTTACTACAGTATTGTTGATTAGATATATTGTCGCTCTTGGATAGCTCATAATGATAAATCAGTTTGTTCTTTATTGAAATTAATTTCTCTCAAAATAAATACATTAGTTATTATTATTGATCTTCACAATTAAATCTTCTGATTGTTTGTTTGGAATGTGAAACATGCAATTGAGTAATAAATAGGAATTAAAATTTATAACAGTTAAACAAATCAATTAAGTGAACCTTGAAATCTTATTCATCATAATATTGTTTTTAATCCTTTATAATTATCATCTTTTATTTAAATATTTTTATTCTTAATTTTAAAAATCATCTTTTAATTTAATTTCTCGTTGTGACAACTCTTTTTGTTGGTTTAATATAGTTTCCTTATGGATTTGATGCCTAAAGCTACGCTACAACAACTACTTAGCCGGGTATTAATTTTGAGGCAAGACATCAAAATTTGGCACCGTTGCCAAGCAAGCCAAGTCGACAATTAGAGTTTGAACATTCTTCACTCTTCTTTTATTTTTTTTCTTTTTTTTGTTTCTTTTCTTTAGTTTATTTTACTTCTTGCTTTTATTTTATTTTTTCATTAAAAAAAAAAGATTAGAGTGTATGAATAGATCAAGGGACGAAAAAGGGAGATTTATTAGATCAGTTCCACCACCCTTTCAAAAAGAAGAAGTCGAGTCTAATTCATCCTTTAATTTTAAAACCATGAGTCAAGATGAGGATCAACCTATTAAGATGTTGAAAGACTATTTTCACCCCATTAGAATAGCTACACCATCGTGCATAATGTTTCCTCCTAATACACCACACTTTGAGTTCAAACCTGAAATGATTCAGTTTTTGCCTAGTTTCCATGGTTTAGAGAATGAACATCCATATGTTCATGTTAGGGAGTTTGAGGAGGTAGTAGCTACTTTTCATAGTCGAGCTAATACTATAGACACAATTAGGTTGAAATTATTTCCCTTCTCCTTGAAAGACAAAGCTAAAATTTGGTTATATTCTTTGAGATCGAGATCTATAGGTACATGGGCAGAGATGACCCAAGTTTATTTTAACAAGTACTTTCCACATCATAAGACTAATAATTTTAAAAGACAGATCTCCACATTTTCTCAAAAGGATAGTGAAACCTTATACCAAGCATGGGAGAGGTTTAAGGAATTGTAAAACTTGTGTCCACATCACGGGTAAGAAACGTGGAGGTTGGTTAGTTATTTCTATGAGGGTTTAACTACTAGGGAGTGTCAATTCATAGAGATGATATGTAATGGGCAGTTTTTACATAAGGACCCAGAAGAAGCCATAGATTATTTAAATGAGTTAGTTGAAAAAACTCACACTTGGACAGGAACTAGTGCCACTTATAGTACTAGTAGGTCATGATCATCTGGGATTTACCACCTGAAAGAGGACGATAACCTTAAAGCCCAATTGGAAGCTACTTGAGACATTAAAAATGAAAAAATAATAGAGTCACCCACATAGTTGCAAGGGTAGAAGCTTAGGCTTCATGTTTTGTTTGTGGGGGATTGGATTATTTAGCTCAAGATTGCCTAACCTATGGTGAGATGAGAGGGGTGCATGAAGAACAATGTAATGCATTAGGAATGGGTAGGGAACTTTTTTCACCCTATTCAGAGACATACAATCCTAGTTGGAGGAACCATCCCAATTTTAGTTGGAAGGCTAATCAAAACCATCCCACATCATTTAGCAATACTTGGAATAGTGAAGCTCAACCACTTAGGTCTTACCCTACACCTCAATACAATGCACGACTAGATAGGAATCCTTTAGAGGAAACACTTAAGGCATTTATGGAGGCACAAAATAAGACTAACCAAAAGTTTGATTCTATTCTTACACAGGTGGTTGAAGAAAACAAGGATATCAAGAGTCAACTAAGTTGACCAATGATCTTACTGTCCAAGAACAAGGTAAGATTCCATCTCAACCTTAAGCTAATTCCAAAAATTTACATTTGGTGCAAGAATCTACCTCTAATTCAAAGAACATAAAAGGGGTCAATGCAATCACGACTGGTAATGGTAAGGTTATAGAGCCATTGCAAAAGTCACCTCAATTAAAGGACGCTACTCCAAATAGCCGTGAAGATGACTTGTTGGAAGAACCTGAGAAAGAGGTCCCAATTTGAGTTCCTTTCCCTCAGACTCTTAAAACTGGAAAGATTTCAGAGAACCAAGGTGAGATTTTAGAAATTTTGAAACAAGTTAAGATTAATGTACCTTTGTTGCATGTGATTAAACAAGTACCAACTTATGCCAAGGTAATCAAGGATCTATGCACCATGTAAAGGAAACACCATGTCAAGAAAACTACATTCTTGACTGAGCAAGTAAGTGCGGTGATTGAGTAGAAAACGCCGCCAAAGCACAAAGATCCATGGTGCCCAACAATTTCTTGCCAAATTGGATCACAAGAGTTTGGTCAAGCTTTTTTGGATTTAGGAGCAAGTGTGAATTTAATGCCTCGTTCAGTTTATTTGCACCTAGGTCTTGGAGAGATAAAACCAACATTTGTGGTGTTACAGTTGGTTGATCATTCTTGTAGAAAACCAAGAGGGATAGTAGAAGATGTTTTGCTTCAAATTGATAAATTTTATTATCCTGTTGATTTTCTTGTGTTAGATACTCAGTCTAAAGTTAATAGTGAGTCAAAAATTCCACTTATTTTAGGAAGGCCATTTCTTGCTATTGCTAATGCTCTCATTAATTGTAGGAATGGTTTGATGAAACTTTCATTTGGGAATATGACTCTTGAGGTGAATATTTTTCATGTTGGGAAGCAACTACATGATGATGATGAATGTTATCAAAACTGCATGATAGATTCATTGGTTGAGGAAGTATATGAAAGGGAAAATTCTAAATCTTTAGACTACCTCCTTGGTGACTCTGATTTAGATGTTGACTTTTTGAACTATCCTGTTAATGATCATTCTAATGTCTCTTCTATTTCTAATGTTATGCAAGATAAACAAAGAAAATTTTTACAACCAGCTTTGAGGAGTTACTATATGATAGGAAACATTTGAAGCCATTTTCAATGGAGATGCCAAGCGTCGAGTTATCCCCACCTTTTGAAGGATTGAAGCATGCATTCTTGGGAACGTCTTCCAAATTATTGGATAATGGTTGAGACATTATATGGAGCAAGTAGACCAACCTGAGGAGATCATTCTTATGGCTCTCGTCTACAATGCTTAATCAGGTTCTATCTTTCCATCGTATTATTTTTTTCTATTTTTTGTTTTTTTTTCTTTTTCATAGCTTTTCTTGTAGTATTTTTTCTTTTATTAGTTTTCTAGGTTTCCTTCCCTAGTTATTACATTTTAGGGTTGCTTTTGCTTTTTTTATGCCAGCAAGGACACTGTCTCGTTTAAGTTGGGAGTGGGAGCATTGCATGCACATTTTAGGCACACTTTTTATACACATTATCTTGAAAAAAAAAAACAAAAAAAGAGGAAAAAAGAAAAAAAAAAGAAAGAAAGAAAGTAAAAAAGGACCAAAAAATTTTTTTTTTGCTTATTCCTTAGACTTTGGTAATTCTTGTGTGAAAGGGTTTGCAAAGCATGATTATTTTTGCTTTTCTACCTAGGTATGATTTCAAAATTACTTGATTTAAGTCACTTTCTCTATCTTGATTATTAAAGGGTAACTTCTAGAAATTTTTTTGCACACAATACTAAGCTTTGTGGTTAGATGGATGTTCAATATGTATAGCTAAGAGAATTATCAGGTTTAAGTGCCTTTTTTTTTT